TCTCCTCCCCGAGACCCCTCTGCAAGGGGATCTCCAGTACCACAGTCAATTTTAGAACATTTTCTTCTTTCTTGTACTCATTGTTATTTGTGTAATTATTTTAATTGTGGCAAAAATTTAGACAACAAAGCATTCGCCAATTCAACAACTTCTACACGTATAATTTGGTGCCATTGATTGTACTCTTCATGTTGTACAACCATTATTGATATCTTTTTCCAAATTATTTCACCACCATTAACATAAACTCAGTGCCCCCTAAACATAACATACATCTTTTGTGTTTGTTTTTCTATAATTTTCCTTGGTGCTTGAATATTAAAAGAATATTTTAATGTCAGAGAGTAAATGACAGTGAATACCATTACGGAGAATTCCAGGTTTCAGAATTTGTTCAAATATTGCCTGTCTTCGTGTGTATGACTTTAGGCAGTCATTTGGGGGGGGTCCTCCTTAAAGGCCCTGCGCCACCCAAAGAAAGCCTGTGTTAAAACCTCTCACTCCAGTTGTAAGGACGTTTGGTGACTTTTGCCTTCTGACAGCAAGATTCAGGGTTGAGGTCCACTAGTGGCTCCTCAGGAGAAAGATGAGGTTTTCTGTTCTGAAAAGATTTGCAGCTGTGGCACCACCAAGGGACTTGGCGTATTGTCTCACAGCGTCTCTGTGGATGGGAGTCAACTTGATGGCAGTGAGTGTGGTTTGGAGTTTTGCTACAGTTTTAAGACGGGGACCATTAGAAGATACAGACTTTCCAGAAGACTAATTCAGTGTAAATCTGATAACAGTGAGCCATCTGGAATGAGAGGTCATTTTATTTTTACTCAACTGTCACTCTCCTTCAGTAAAGGGTTTAGGTTCCCGCTGCCATGGAGTTGATTCTGAGTCACAGTGACTGGGTACTTTAGAGAAACAAATCCACAGAAACTCATGTAAAAGAGAGCGTTTTATATAATGGTTAACTGTGCATCAAGAAAACATCCCAACCCAGTGCTGCCCAAGCCCACAAGTCCAATATTCACCCATAAACCATATGTCCAACACCAGTCCACAAAGTCCTCCTCCATCTCACAAAGCAGACACAGTGATGCCGACTGCAGGAGGAAAGCCGAGTCAGTGAATGTGTAAACATCTCAGCGCTGGCAGGGTCTCCACGGCTGCTCTAGCACCCAGGGCTGCATCGGGGTAGATCTATGTGGCTTCTCCTTGGGGATGTCTTGCAGGAAGTCAGCCTTGCCAGCTGAAGCTGGGAATTGCTAAGACAGCTGCACCCTAGTGCAACCATCACAAAGCAAGAAACCCGAGAACTCAAAAGGCAAGGCTCACTGAGCCATCTATCCCTCCGCCCTTCAGTTAACCCCACATGTGTTTATCGGCCAGGTTGGCACAATCGACTAGCTCACTCAGTGACCCTGTGTGTAACGGAGTAGAAGTCCCTAGGCTTTATGAGGCTGCACCTGTACAGGAGCAGAGAGAGCAGCTGATGGGCTTGAATTGCTGACCTTGTAATTAGTTGCCCAATTTGCAATCAGCTACACTTACCCAACCGTGCTCCTAAGGAGTGGGTCTCACTCACTGCCATCAAGTCGATGCTGACTCATAGCCACCCTTTGGACTGGACAGGGTAGAACTGCCCTTGTGGATTTCCGTGGATTTCTGAGGCTGTAACTCTTCATGGGGATAGAAAACCTTATCTCTTTCCCGAGGGGGGGGTAGTTTCTAACTGCTGACTTCCCACTTAGTGGGACAACGGACTGAGCTTCATTTTTCCAGTTCTTGACAGTGGCTCCTCTGGAAGTCTGCTCCCCAGCCTCAAACCCTGGTTTCACATCGTTTTCAACGCTCAGACTAGTCTAACACCAGAGCATAAGGAAGTCCTGCAGGTAGCAAGAAGTGCTAGGTATATTCTTCATGCCTTTCCTGGGTCTCTTGACTTCTATAATTCCTCTTCTTTATAATATCAATTGAGTTCCTGTGGTGTATTTCTACAACAGAAACTTTTGTGGAGTTGATTACACTAGAATTGCATCTAATCCTTAGGTTTTATTATATATGTGTGTATGTGTGTATAATAGCTCTCTCTATATATATGTGTGTGTATGTATGTATATGTATATATATATGTATATAAAGTTCACTTAATTTATAAACAAACATTGCTGTTGAGTTAAAATCTGCATAAAGTGACCCTGCCTTAGAATGTGCAAGGCTGTGGAAATAAGCAGGCTGCTACTGCTTCTCCCTCAGGGCAGCTGAGGGGTCACACCGCCAACTTTGCTATGAGCAGTTGAGTTCATAACCTGAGCCACCAGGTCCCTGTTCTTGTTGTTGCACTGCTGCTGCTGCTGCTGCTAGTTGCGATTGAGTTCAGTCCCGCCTTACAGAGGCCCTCTATACAACAAAGTAAAACACCACCTGGTCCCTTGGCCATCCTCACCACCGTTGTTTATGTTTGAGCCCATTGTTGCACCCGCTCTGTCACTCCATCTTGTCGAGGGTCTTTCTCTTTGTCTGCTGCCCCTCTACTTTCTTTCTCCAGGGACTGGTCTCTCCTGACAACATGTCCAAAGTATGGGGGTGAAGTCTCACCATCCTTGCCTCTGAAGAGCATTCTAGCTGTACTTCCAAAACAGATGTTTGTTCTTTTCACTTGGGTATTATTAAATGGTAGCTCAAGTGAACTTTAATTTGCATTTTTTTGATGATTGTAGAAGGTAAACTTTTCCCTGGGGTTTCTTTGATGGTCTAAGTTGTGAAAATCTTTTGCATGTCAAACCTTTTGAGTGCTAGTGAAGATTTTTCCGTATTATATTTTTTAATCCACTAAGAGAGGTGACTAAAACCAACATGTTGTAATTTTGATAAAAGTATCTCCATCCAGGTAGATCACAGGGAACAAGGCTGAGACCGAGCTGGGTCAGTGATGAGACAGCTGGCCAGTTCCCCTCCACTTGAGAAACCCAGGTTAAATTTTAGATAATTACCTCATGTGCAGCCAATACCTGTCTGTCACTGGAGGCTTGCATATTGCTGTGATGCTGACCAAGGTTTGCTGGAGCTTCCAAACCAAGGTGGACTAGGAAGAAGGGCCTGGCAATCTAATTCCCAAAGTCAGCTCGGGAAAACCTTGCAGATTGTAGCAGTTCCATCTGCAACCACTCCTTCCGATGTCTGTGAGGTCACCATGAATCCATTTCAATGGCAACAAGTAGCTTAGAAGGGACAGTGACATTCAAGAATCCATTTCTACTAAAAGTCATTTATTGTGCTCCTTGTAATTTTGGTGTTTTGATATCTACTCATCCATTCATTCTACAGCCCTGAATGTCCATGTGTTAGCACTGTGAAGGAAGCCTCTTATGGAGCAACCTCCAGTGGAGGAGCTGACCATGTAAATAAATAACCTTCATATGACATCAGTGTGCTTCACTGGCACTTCACAAAGGAGCTTCAAAATTTTTGTGAGAAAAATGGAATTAAAAGATAATAGAATTTTTCCACAAACTTTTTAAAGCCCCTCACATTTTAGAGTTGTGAACAAAATACTTTCTAAACTTTAATACCATGGGGATTTATACTAAAGCATACTGCTTATAAGCACATGCCTTTTCTTTTAGTTCTATATCCAGTAGTCTGTCTGAATTTTAAAGGCTTATCATTTGTGGATTTGGACCTTAGCTCTTAACTTGTTTAAGGTGGTCCCGACCAAGTACTTAACTCTGTGATAAGGAGGAGTGTGGATTTAAATATGCTGTGGGCCGGTTAGCTTTTCTTGTTCAATGTCCACAGTCGGCCACTCCATCATTCAGTACCCCCTCAGTCAACTTCCTCTAAAATGTTGACTTTTTACTCTAAAGGAACTCAGAGTGTTGGAATTCTTGAGAATGAACACATCAGCCTTAGTGGGCAGAAGACTCTAAGATCTCTGTAGACAAACGCTGACATTTGTCAGGTTTTCACTCTGGCTTCTGAAGGAAAGTAAGCCAGAGACTACACACACAAGCCTTTAAGAAGTGTCAAGTGTTGCCAGTCACTTTGCTGCTTTACTACTTCACTTCTTGTTTGGCCAAGTGATTGCTGCTCAGAGAAACCTAGTCATCTCATTACCAGTCTTGCAGGCCAGTCTACCTCTAGGAGCAATAACGCATTTCCAGGTCAGGAGTTTTCCCAGGTTCCGGCTCCCTTGTCACAAGCCATATTTAAAATACGGTCCCTGCAGGCATAGACGCTGTACATTCCCAACCACCGTGACATAATCTAATCTCTCTTCTGAACGAAGTATCCACCAAATGTATCTGTGTTTGGCTTAAAATGTATTATTAATATACTATTAAGAATCTATGGAGGGTCCGTCGCGGGCGTCTCGTCTGAGGGTCACATTGAGCTGCCTGCGTTTTGAGGGGGCGCTTTAGGAGTCACCACCATGGCAGAAGACATCAAGACCAAAATCAAGAACTACCGAACTGCGCCTTTTGACAGCGGCTTCCCCAACCAGAACCAGACCAGGAACTGCTGGCAGAACAACTTGGACTTCCACCGCTGGGAGAAGGCGATGGATGCCAACGGGGGTGACGTCTCCGTGTGTCCATGGTATCAGCGTGTGTACAAGTCCCTCTGCCCCGTTTCCTGGGTGTCGGCCTGGGATGACCGCCGGGCAGAAGGCACATTTCCTGGGAAGATCTGAACTGGCCCTTGCTTCTCTCCTGGGATCCTGACTCTTGACTTAATAATAAACTCATTGAACATGTGTAAAAAAAAAAAAAAGAATCTATGGAAACATCATCACCACCAGAGTAGCAATAGGAAAAATCCATGATCTGTATATTTGAGGTTACAATATATTTGAGGTTACAATCTTGCCATAAATGGTGTCACTGGGGTCATTCTCTTGCTCTCTTTATCTCATGAATGGAAGAAAAAGACTTGCTGTTTTCTCTCAGTTAAATTCAAGAAATACCCATTACGTGAAGACAAAACTCAGTCTTTGACCTAGAATGTACCGTATGTACTTGTGTATAAGCCGGGTTTTTCAGCACATTTTTAATGCAGTTTTTGTGGTAAAATTAAAGTGCCTTGACAGATATTCGGGTTGGCTTATACTCGAGTATCTGTGTGTACATAATCTACTAGGAAAGACGGCTCCATAAGTGGACAATTGCAGTACAGTTTGGAAGGTCAAAATAGACAAGTCCAAATCCAGAAGGTAACACCTGGGAAGGACTGAGGACTATTTGGTTGGCAGAGAGAAAAAGGGCAACGAGCAGAGAAGGATGACCGGAGCCAGACGGACAAAGTCAATGAGAAGGTGTTTCAAGAAGAGGAACTGATGTGTACAAAGTTCCAGAGACATGACATAAGCCCATTGTACTTGTGAATTAAACGTCATTTTGTATTGCTTGGGGAAAATCCTGTAGAAAAAGGATTTAGAGCAGGTGAGAGTCATGATCATGTGTATTTTAGGAAGCTCACTTTGGCAGGATGGATGGAGGGTGTAAGAATGGAGACATGGGGGCTGGGTGCTTTACGTCCTTTGAGAAATGAGGTCAGTGAACTTGCACAGAGTGTCCGAGGACATGGAGAGGACTAGACTGAGCCGAGAGTTGAACTCTCCTGGGTGCCATGGCCAGGACTTGGTGACTGGCCACCGAGCCATAGATGGCTTCCTCCAGTTCCCCCAGGGCTAGCTTGTCATTGTTTACACTCCTGGTTTCAAATTCATTCTCCTACTCCTTAGACTGTTGAGACTCCTAGTATGCTTGTTTTTCCCAAAGCCCAGACTAAGTATGTGTTCTTTTTAGGTGAGATGGGCAGACCTTGAAGAAAAGAAGGACGCAGATAGGAAAAGGGCCATAGGTTTTGTGGTCGGACAAACTGATTGGGAGAAGATCACAGATGAAAGTGGTCACCTGGCTGAAAAAGCCCTCAATCGAACCAAATACATATGAGACATAGTTTTTGAATGGAGTCATTGTTCCTCTAAGGTAAGGTGCACAGTCGTTTAAATGGCCTACTGTGTGGTTGATGTGGACGGTTTGAGATAGAGGTGACAGCATGCTTTACAGCATAGGCTTTTATTCCCTGAATTATTTTCTGCTTCTGGAAGAGTCTGTGCTAGTTGCTAGCACTGACCGGATGGGAAAGCAACAGCGGGAAGCACGTTTCTGCAAGCTGGCCCAAGTGGACAAGTATAACGAGAGTGAGACTGGGGAAGGAGGGGAGTGAGGTGCACTCTCTGCCTGCTCTTCTCCAGCGTGGCTCACGGCCTTTTCTTTTCCTTGCAGGTGGTTCGCTTTGAGGTGGTCAGAAGCCAAGACCGCACGGAGCTTCGTTGTGTGTCACCTTGCTTCCACGTTTCAGTTTTTGTTTAGTATTCTACTGCTTTAGTTTTTTAAAGTTCTCCAATGTCCCCAAGAGGTATTAGAATCTTGCTGTACCCAAGCAAGACAATGATTTTTCTTTTTGACTATTTTGGGGCGGGCGGGAGTGGTAGCTTGACTGCTGAAGCCAGGTGGGATCCACTGGAGGGATTCCAGCGATACTTCCTTCACTGGACAGTGTCACAGACTATCTCTGTCATCATTGCTGTGGCTGCTTTTTGTTTTTACTGTATGTAATTGGTAGCTGATTGTACTAGGATTAAAAACAATAAACTTTCATGATAAAGCCAGTGAGATTCATGGGCTATCCAGCATGAGCCCCTATCGCTTGTTTTGTTTTCTTAATTTTATTTTCATTGCTGCTTTTAATATGATGTGCCCTAATTACATGCTAGCTGAACATCCCAAAATCTCTTTCCCATTGAAAATTCCAGAGCTCAGTAGTTCTGTAGCACGCACCTTTGTTGTCTGTCTCATTTCTCTGGGTGTCCTGAGGACTGGTAGGGACCAGTGGCAGAACTCGTCTGCTCCCTGGAACAGCAGTTCTGCAACAGGATGTTTCCGTTTGGACTTTTTGGGGGGGGCTAGTGGGGAGAACCTGGCTCCTATTCTCCATCTCTTCCCTGTATGTTATGCTTGGGTTTTTACTTGCTCGGACGCTGAATTCCTGGTGGACAGTGCATGGAACTTAAGAGCTGTGGCCTCACTGCTTGTCCGTTTTGGAGTCAGGAGCACAGGAAGGAAGGCGTGTAGAGCCGCTACGTCCTCTGGCATGTAACCCTGAAGACTGCCAGGTTTTCAAGTTCTTGCCAGATTGCTCATTTTTGAAAAGCATGACCTTCTGCTTGGAATTAATTTCCTCTCGTGAATAATGCCTGGTGGAGCCCTGGAACATGCAGCGTTAACGCCTGAATGTGGTTCCTCTGTGAAAACGGGCTCTGTGAAAACGGGCTCTGCTTCCTTAAGTCTGCAAAGAAAGAATGTCATCTTTCAGAATGGGAAAGGGTGGAGACAAACTCTTCCCAGGACATCACATTTCTATGTTATGATCCAACTCGGCAAGGTGTAAATTTCCTGACAAAAAGCTTAACCTCCTTTTTTTTTTCTTTCTTTTTTAAATAATATCCTCTTTCAGGCTATAGTCCAAGAATCCTTTTATTTTCTGACCAGTCAGCGACTGTTGTGAATAGAGTTGAATATTGACCAGCATTTGAATAGTGTCACTTAGCGTTCAACAACTTGAAATTACAGGCCTGGAGATTCTAATGAACAATTCTGGCCATCCTTGGTTCTTTTATCTTCCCTGAAATTCTAAATGTTTAAATGTAAGATACATTTAAGTTTGTTAACCAGTGAATTTTGAAGGTGTCATCTGCTGCAGTAAAAAATTTCCCATGTTTGTCATATTTAATAAGCTATTTTGTTGCTTATTTGGCCTAAAATGCATTCTGTGTATTCCGCTTTCTCAACATATTTTATCATGTTGTTAGAATTATTGTTGGTGTAATGACCTCTTACCTAGTTTCCAAATCTACTCAGGTCTATTATAATCAAAAACAGAACTTCAAGAATGTATTTCCTTTTCAGAAGAAAATGAGGCATATAGTTGCCTTTAATCCTTTTACCATCAGATGCATTATATTCAGGATAAAACCAACTTCCTCACCCTCCAGTCAATTCGATTCAGACTCAGAATGCCACTCGTATGTCAGTTTAAGCGTAAAAAGTGATCATCATTGTTGCTGAGTCACTTTGAATCCCTCATAGTTTGCCTTATAGCCATGACTGTGTCTGTGCTGTCACACCAAGAAGTGTCATTGAAGAATGGATCGAGTCAAAATGGGCTCCATCAGTGTTCAGAAGGTGGAGATTAATGTGACCTTTGGGATGAACCTAAGAGTGTTGCCTACTTCAGAAATTGTTCTGAGAGATAACCGCCATGACAGGAGATGAGTGGGAAACATGTATTAGAAAGGGATTAGGCCCCACAAAGAAAGTAATTGTCAATTGATGTTAGACTTTACTTTTCTGATGTGGGCCTGCTAAGAACTGGCATTATCACTAGAAGCAGAATAGGGTAGGAAGCCCAAGGGTATCTTGGAGAAATATGTGAGTAGAAAATGCCTTGATGTCAAATATTTTAAGCTTGTTAAGAGGTGTGCCTTTGGAATGTAGTGGACTAAACTTGTATTCCACTTATCTGCTAGTGCTTTATTTTTCTTAGAAAACTGTTTGGTGTGTGGTTTAAAATTCTTATTTTAATCATGTTAAGTTTATGTAAAATTCATTTGTGGTGTCTTCTAACATAAAGCCGTCTGGTGTCCAGTAACATTCCTGATACCTTTCATGCTTCAGACCTTTTAAAAAACATTTAAAATCTGTACTGGACAAGTAACTTGGTAGGTCCAGAAACTTTTCTATTGGGGAGTCCGTGACTGATTACAAAGCTGGGAAGCCATTAATAGCACAGTGGTCACTTAATTTGATTCACATAACACCTGAGCTTGCGTGATTCAGATACCAATGACTAATCTGGAAGTTTGTTGGGCTAATAAAACCTTCTCTATCTGATTGGGTCTATAGCTCTGCTAAGGAGTTCTTGTTGTTAATTGGACAAACCAAAATAAGTGCTGTGTCACCTGAAGACTAACTATTAAGTTCTTCATTGGGTTAACTGAGAGTTTCAACGTAGGTTTTCAGAGGGCTCTCCGTTTTGGCTCCAAAGTATATTATTTTGCTAACTGCCAGCTGTAGGTATTGGTAATATAAGACAACTTCCAAAAGTTCATGGGAAAACAGAATTAAAAGATAAAATTAACAATATAAACTATTTCTCAATACAAGCTCCATGAAGGTCACAATACTTATAAGCAATGATATCAGTACTTGGCCCATTCCTCAAGAACTGAGGGATCTAGGAATTTAACCATGCCAATATAGTCTTTTTTTTATATTATTAATTGGGGTGGGGGAAGTTCCCTTTTAACTTTTTAAGAGTTGTTGTCATTGTTAGGTGCTGTTGAATCTGTTCGACGCAGAGCAACCCTGTCTGCAACACAGAAAAAGTCGGGAGGAGCCAAATCAGAACTAAAATGTGCAAAATTGCTCCTCTGGTGAAGTTTTCCTGAGTGTTTCCTGCTAAAGCTCTGACTTTCGCAAAACACTTTCAGATTAAGCAGGTGCTAAAAGTCCATAAGCAAAATGCCTGAGCACCCCAAAAAGCTGTCGCCATGGCTTTGGCTCTTAACAGGTCTGCGTTTGCTCCGGTTGGACCACTTCCGTCCCTTGGTAGCCATTGCTTTAATGGATGGTCTGCCTATTGTCTTATCCCTTCTTCAAATGAGTTGTCCATTTGTAAACTGCTCTGGAAAGGAGCTCTTGTTCAAACTGGGAACCTTATCCTTCTGAGCACCTCTTACTAGATCCTGTTCAGACATGTTACAGCGTTTGTGTGAATTTATTCTGATGTGCAAGACAAAAATTGAAATCCATATGTAAGTTTTTTCACAATATGTAGTTTTTTTGTAGCTGTCTAAAGTTTAGCTTGCTGCAAGGACTGTAAAAACAAAAGGTTCTTAGCTGCAAAGAACATACACAGATTTTGAAGTTTAGTTCTTGAGGTACCAGAATAAGCTGAGTTTCACTAAGCTATGGAACGAGGATGTGTTTGTGTACATTTAATACTAGAATGTTTGTAGTAGTGACAGACTCTAGTACACATGCCAGGTACCCTGGAAGCAATGTGACCCTAAGCAAATCACTTAACCTAGCTGAACTTTCTCGATATCTTTGTATAACATGAAAGTAACAAAACACACCTACTAAAAGTTGCTATGAGAGTTTATACTCCTTGACACAGTAGCAAACACATATAAAGTTAATAATTGGTAGCTGTCATTGTTACTGTTCTTTTTTTTTTTTTTTTT